ACTGCCTCATATTTATGACAGTGGCCGCATCCCGCATTCCCATTTCACGACCTTCTGCCAGGCAACGGTGGCGTTAAGGGTCATAAAACGCAGCCAAACTCACACCGTCTCCCTTAGCAGCAGAAATTCTGGGTCGTAAGGGGAGGACTACCTGCATTGGCAAAGGGGATTTTCACGAGACCGCGGGCGAAATGCACCTGTACGAACAAGCCTGCTTGTTTCCTTCTCTCTCTCTCATCTCCGGCCTTGAACACTTGCATGCACAAACGCACACCCCAGAGAAACACACTCCCCACTACGGTTCACTGCACTGTCTAATGGCCAACTGAGAACACCTTCCGTGCTTGGTCTAAATTGGCCCGTTACTTGAGTCAGGGAGATGAAATTTCAATACAGGTACAGTTAGCACACTTCCTTGTTTGATATGTGGTGGGGGGGGAGGTTTAGGTGGGGGTTAAACTAACTGGGAGGGAAGTTATTCAAAGCACCGTTTTGGAACTGGGGAGTCAAGGCCAAACGTGTCATTTTCTTATCAAAGGAAAAAGATCTTCCTTTATCTTCAAGAGAAATTCAAAATTTCCTTCTAGAACCGAGGAGTTGAAGCGGCGTACGGTTCATCGCAAGCCTTAAATTGTACCTGCCATGGCTAAATCAAGAATAAAACGAGATTTGAAAGGACACAAGGGGGTTCACGTCCATTCAGCCTATTTATATATAAAGTGCACTGGCCAGTACATTTTAGCGCAATAATTATCCGATTTTTCCATTCGGTATGTCTAATAAGACTTTCTGGTAGTTAAATAAAGCAAATATCTATATTCTGTGCGGATGTCCATAGAGAAAGCCTTGAGTAAGCCTGCTACTGAATAATACATCCATTTATTTTCTATTATAGGACTTTAAAACAACCGTCAGGGAGACCACAGCGATTTTTCTAAGGGTTTATTTTAACTTATCTAAATCACCGATTTGTTTCTTGTAAACATTTCTGGGTGTTGGGATCTGCTTTCGAATACACGTGCCGATGTGAGAAATATGTTAAACTCCTCTCTCTGGAAATCACCTTGCCTTATTTATTGAGCCAAGTGTGACAACTATAAGGAAGAAATAATATAAAGACCGTTCAACAATATAAACAACTCCAACTTTGCACTGTCCTCTAATCCAATTCCAGCTCCGTGGATCCTCCAGCTGCAGAGATGCTCTACCTTGAAAAACTAGGAGGAACCACTCCTCACAAGCCATTAGTTGGTTGCTATAATAAAGAGAAGGCCAGAGTAGAAGGCCGGGCTGAGCAAGACCAAAAGTGGATTTACAGTAAGTCCTGGTGATGCAGAGATCTGCAGGACTGGTTAGGAAGAAGACAGAAGGCGGAATAAAAAACAAAACTTCTGCAAATAGGACTTTAAAACGGGTCAACCATTTGCGATCCAATCTGCAGAAAAGGACAGACTGTAAATTAAGATTAAGAGCCCAAGAGAGCAACAGAATTCTACCACATTCAATGCATTCCTTTTGCGATAGACTTTCTTCCCTGAGAATCAGATACTCTGCTGCCAGAGCTGGAGGTTCCATCAGGGGGGAAATCCACATGTGGGCTTTACTTCCAAGCAAACAGGGCCGGGATAAGGGGCTGACACTGTGTGGTGGTGGGGAGAGATCTTTGTCCTTTCCTTTGCTGCATGGTGGTTCATATCGGGTTGCACCATACTGCACTGCAGGGAATTGCACTGAGCAAGGGGTCAGTGTAGAAGACCTCCAGGGTCCCCTTCCAGGCCTAGGACTCTATAAAATCCAAACATATAAGTCTATGAACTATAAAAACTAAACATATAAATCTATGCACTGCATGGAATTGCCCTGAGCAAGGGGTCAGTCTAGAAGATCCCCAGGGTCCCTTCCGGCCCTATGATTCCATAAAAACCAAGCACACACGTTCATGAACGGATTGCATCACACTGCCTGGAGTTGCGTCGCCCCACTTAGGCCTGGGGGAGCCGGGCAGACGCCCCCAGAGTCTGCTCGCCGCGGCTTCCCTTCCCTCCCAGGCGGGCCTTTTGCACCCGCCGCCCCCCTGCCCCGATCGGGCCCAGCCCGGCCTCGGCCTTACCTCCCCTCCCCTTTCGGCGGTTTCGCCTGGCGCCTCCGAAGGAAGCCACCTCTATTGTGCGGGGACCAGCGCCGGCGAGCAGCGATGACGCCTTGGAGAGCGCGACCCCCGCGGCCTTCCCAGGGCCCCGCTGCCGAGCCCGCCGGCGCCATCTTTGAAAAGGGCAAATCCGGTTCCTTCCTTCCTCTTCCCAGTTTCCAGTCATTTTGAAAGCTGGATTTGCACAAGGCGTCTGGGTTTCCCCCCAACACACACACACCCCAATTTTGCGCCTTCTGTCGCTGTCTCCACCATCCCCTGCTGGATGGGGATGATGGAGATGGTAGTCCCCCCGCTTTCCTCCCCCCCCCCCCCCCCCCGCAACCCAAGATCCACTGAATCCCAATTTCTCTTCTGCAGAGGGAAACAAGCATGATGAAATTTGAATTGGACGCTTCTTGCATAAAGGTTCTGGGTTTGGGGGGTAAGGAGTTGCTGCTGCCCGGGATCCTAAACTTATCCTTCAAAAATAGATGCAAAGAAGCAAAGGGTAGTCTTAAGACCGACCAACCTCACAGGGCTGTTGTTGGGAGACAGTAACAAAGGGGCATTATAAATCCTGCCTGAATTGAAAGGAAAAACTTCGGATTTTGATGGGTTGAATAAATTCAATTCTGCTCGTTTATTTTTATTTTTTTTGAAAAAAAACAATGCATCCTGAGTTTGACTCCTGTCTGTAGAATTGTAAGCCTTGTTACAAGAACGATGTGGCGGATGGGGGATAATTGGTTTTTATATACCGTAAGCCGCCTTGAGTCGCCATGGGCGAATAGGCGATTTCAAGAAATACAATAAAATAAGCATATACAGTAGAAAAATGGGGTCCTGGATGCTCTCTGAGCTGGGTGGTTTTCTTGCAGACATTTCATGGCCCAACTAGGTTACATCATCAGTGAAAGAAGTGACGCAGGGCTTCTATAACTAAATAGAGAGCAAACCCCACTCGCTTCTAGCACTGATGATGTTCCCTAGTTGGGTAATGAAACGTCTGCAAGGAAACCACCAAGTTCAGAGACCACCAAGGACGTCAGTCCTCCTCTCTACAAGCCTTCTAGCATTGATGATGTTATGTAGTTGGGTTGTGAAACGTCTGCAAGAAATCCACCCAGCTCAGAGAGCACCAAGGGCCCCACAGTCTTTCTTCCTTCCTTCCTTCCTTCCTTCCTTCCTTCCTTCCTTCCTTCCTTCCTTCCTTCCTTCCATAAAAACTACAGGAATTTATCCAGGCAGTTGTCAGGAGTCTCAACATTGACTCCAAGGAACATTATGACACATACACACATACACCAACACACCCTTCCTAGCAGCTTCCTTTGAAACAGAAACTCAAAATAACTTATTTTAGTGGCAAATGCAACCCCTCAGAACTTAATAGGCGGCAAATTCAAATTTTTATCATTGTCGCCACTCTGTGCTAATATTAATAGACTCTGCTATAAATACAGGTAGTCCTCGATTTACGACCACCATTGAGGCCAGGATTGACGTTGCTAAACAAGACATTTAAGTGATTTTTTTTTTGCCCGATTTCGTGACCTTTCTTGCCACTGTTGTTAAGTGAATCATCACAGTGGTTTTATAGAGCCCAGTTGTGAAGTGAATCTGGTTCCCCCATCAGAATGTCACCGAAGGGGACGCTGCGGCGACTGTCATAAATACGAGTCGGTTGCCAAGCGTCAGAATTTGGAGAGTGCAACGGTTGTTAAGAGAGAAAAACAGTCCTTCAGTAAGTCGAGGGCTTGCCCCTATATATGGAAGCTGTAGAAGTACAAAGGGCTAAGCTGCGATCCACGTTAAATTCCTGCTTCCCTCAAACTGCTTCAACAACTTTCTGCTGAAAAATCAAAAATCTGCTTCTGGATTTGGACGGTACTACACCACCCATCCGTCACTGCTGCTCTGTGGAGCTCGAATCTACGGAAATCACCTGGAGGGCTGAGCTGGGTCGATTTTCCGGAGACAGGTGGGTGGGAAGAAAAGCAATGCACAGGGTTGATCCAATGAGAAGGCACCAGTTTTCTGTACCGTGCCGTCATTGCCTCTGCATCCATGAGGACTAGCAACTTACTTTATTTTACCAGGAACTTAACTGTTCCTTTGTTTGGATGGCTTTTTTCGACCTCTCCCTGTGCAACTCGGCACAGTATCAAGCCAGACAGGTGCAACCTCCTTCTAAGTTGGGGTATTGCATCCTCCCCTTAATTTTTATTTTTTGTTGATATGTATTTATTTCCATGCAAAACCAGGCTGGGTTCTCGCAATGCCACCCCGTGTGTCTGCACCCATCTTCCACTCCCTCCAATAGGCATGCAATAGATCACCCCATTTATATCGCTAAGGGCCCCCCCTCTCCACCTCCCCTCCCCATCCTTTTCAATGCCCCCACCCCAACCTCAGCCCCCTTGGGTTGCAAAACCCTCACCCCAGCCAGCAGGCAGGCTGTGGAGCATGGGAGCAGGGGCGCCCGCCTCTTGAGGGCGCCAGGTTGGGGAAAGGCAGCCGGAGGGGGGGCGGGTGCATCCCCGCCCCTTCGCCCCCCGCACGTCTGGAGTCCGGAACCACGGACGGCGCCGGGGCGCATGCGCGCACGAGACCATAAGAGCGAAGATTGGGTCCAAACTTGGGGGGGGGGGGGAGAAAGACCTCGGGCGTTACTGCGCACGCGCGACGCGGCCCAGCGAGCCGCTCTCCGGCACCACGCATGCGTACCTCGCCCCCAACGCGTTCCCGCTCAATCCGCGCTGCTTTTCTCCCGTCCGCCTTTTTTTTTTTTCCCCCACTTCCCCGCGACCGTCGCCGCCTCGCTTTCCTCGCCCGCCTTCCCGGCTCGAAGCGGGGGAGGCTGACTCACCTCTCCCGCACTCGGAGCAAATCCCGGTTGGAGATGGGCAATCGAAAGGGAGGCCGCCGCCCAAAGCTTTCTCTTTTTATTTTTTTCCCCCCTCAGCCCCGCCGTGCTTGGGGTGGGGGGCGCAGAGTGATTGCGTCACGCGGAGCGCGCGGCGCACGAGGACCCTCGTTTCCCACTTCCTTCTCCCCACCCCGCTCTGACGTCAACGGGGCGTGACGCTTCGCCATGGCAACCGCAGAGCGCTCCTGGCGGCTCCGCTGAAGGAATGAAAAATCGAGCCTCCAGGGTTAGGAGAAGTCTACCTCAGACCTTGGAAACCGGCGGGAAAAGAGGATTTTTAAACCCGGGGGTGGTCCACTGACACGTCTAGGGTCTAGATAACTGGACTACAAGATCCACCCTCCACCCTCTCTGGTTTTTAAGCTTTGGAGAGGGCCATGCTGGGTGTTGTAGTCCAAAAGAGAGAAGAAGTCCAGTGGCTTGGATGGAGGAGGAGATTTAATTGTAATTTAATTTAATTGTAAGCTGACCAGAGTGCAGAATAAAGGAATAAATAAAAGTTAGGCTGGCAGAGGATGATGGGAGTTGTAGTTCCACAGCTGTCATATCTACATTGATTGACAATATGACCACCAATCTCCCAGACGTAACTCACGGTGGCTCATCATAACGGATATAAAAAGAGAATGCACTATTAAAAGGTCTCGAAAGCATATAAAACCAAGGATGGATCTCGAATTCACAGATGAGCACGGGGTGATGGGAGTTGTAGTCCATACCCAGCCGCCAAAATCAGCAGCGCCTTAAAAACTCCATCCTTTTTTTTTTTTTTTTTTTTCCTTTTTTTTCCCCTTTCTCTTCTCCCGTTTTAGATTGGGTGGGTTTTAAACTCCCAGAATGGAATCCTGGTTTTGGGGGGGCTTGGTTTGGGGGGGGGGGTTGGACTAGATGACCTACAAGGTCCCTTTCCATTCATTCTGAATCTGAAATTCTCCAGCCAGCATGATTTAAATATAGACTTTTTAAGGACGCCGGCTGGGGGATTTCTGGAAGTTGAAGTCCATCCATCTCAAAAGAGCCAAAATCTTGAGAATCCTTGTTTTAAACCGACTCTTGGGGCTCAATCTGGCTTGTTTCCACTAACCAGGGCTTCCCTTTTGGCATTTTTTTTTGGGGGGGGGGATTCTCATTCCTGCCCTCCCTCTTTTCCCTTTACCCAGAAGCAAAAAAAGTTATTTTCCCTGGAGCAAAAACACACCCCAATTCTAATAATTTATTTGGAACCTTTTTAAAGGCATTTTTTTCCCGTTTGCAAACAAACTGGGTTTAATCCCACCCATGCTTCATTTAAATTCCTTTTTTTCCCCCTTTGATCTAAACACGAGGAGGAAGGGGGGGAGAATGACACCCCCAGGATTTAAACACACCCCCCCCCCAGGATTTAATTCACCCTCTCCCAATTCATTTGCACTTG